TTCCTCCTTTCTTATGTTCTTATGTCACAACGAACGACACCAAGGAAGGTAAGAATATTGTTGTTGTTGTTGGGGATAGCCAAGTTAGGTACATGGATAGGGCGTTCTGCTTGAAGGACAGGAGTAGGAGACAGAGGGTTTGCTTTCCTGGGGCTGGGATGGAGAATATTGTTAGCCGTCTGGACGACATCATGAGAGGTAATGGGAGCAATCCTATTTGTCTCAGTGCTGGAGGCAATGAAGTTGGCAGACGTAGGAGTGAGGACCTGATTAGCAGGTATAGGTCAGCAATAGAAATAATTAGGAGGAAGGGTGGGAACCCTGTCATATGTGGTATTTTGCCAAGGAGAGGAGTTGGAAATGAATGGCTGTCCAGGGCGATTGGTGTCAATTGCTGGCTGGACAAATACTGTAAGGAAAATGCGGTAACATTCATTGACAACTGGGGCCTCTTCTATGGCAGAAATGACATGTATGCCAGGGATGGGGTTCACTTATCTAGGTCTGGGGTGGGGGCACTGGCAACTGCAGTGGAGGGAGCTGTTAGGACTTTAAACTAGGAATAGTTAGTGGTATGGGTTTTGGCAGGAAAACAGTGAAGTCCCAGTGTAGCAATATTATGAGTTCTAGGGGAACTAGTATTAAGCAGAACGAGGTAGATATCGAAAAGCCAGTGACACTAGGTGATAAGGACAGTAATAGGTTTAGTAGAAAAACTGAAATGAGAAGGAAGGGTAAAAACAAAAGAGAATCTTTCAATGTATATTATGCTAATAGCTGTAGTGCTAGGAATAAGATGGACGAGTTGAGATTAGTTGCTAGTGCAGGTAACATTGATGCATTTGCCACAAATGAGACGTGGTTTAATTCAAAAAGTCGGGACATGCCTGCGGAATGTCACATTCAGGGTTTTAAATTGTTCCAAGTAGATAGAAGTATCGGGAAGGGGGGTGGGGTGGCATTGTATGTCCGAGATCGCTTTAACTGTTGCATAAAAACGGGTATTAAGTCTGAGGGAACACATACAGAGTCTGTTTGGATAGAATTTTCAGAGGGGCATGAAAAATTGATTTTAAGTGTGATATACCGTCCCCAAACTTAGATAGGGACCAAGGGAGACTACTATGGGAGGAAATTGTTAAGGCCACAAGGCACGATAATGTAGTAATTCTAGGAGACTTTAACTTTACTCATATTGATTGGAATTTATTGACTGGGAATTTAGAATCATACGACTTCTCAGAAGTAGTTCAGGATTGTTTTTTGAAGCAGTTTGTGACAGAACCTACAAGGGGAAATAACCTGCTTGACTTAGTTCTGGCAAACAATGAATCCCTTGTTAATAATTTAGAAATTTCAGAGGAACTGGGTGCTAGCGACCACAAATCAATTACATTTAGCATTGAATGGAAGTATGATAGAAGGGATAACTCAGTAACAGTCCCAGATTTTCGCTTAGCAGATTACGATGGGCTTAGAGAACACTTATCATCTGTTGACTGGGGTAACGAAGAGAGCTATCAATATGACAGTTTTCTGAACACTATACATGCTGCTCAAAGAACGTTTATCCCGTATAAAGAAATTAATCAAACAGAAATGACCCAAAATGGATGAATAATAGGCTGAAATATCTACTAGGGCATAAGAAGGGAATTTATAGGCGTATCAAAAGAGGTGAGGGTCATCTTATGAATCAGTATATTGACATTAAGAGGGACATTAAAAAGGGGATAAGAAAAGCTAAAAGGGACTATGAAATTAAAGTTGCTAGGGATTCGAAAACTAACCAAAAAGTTTTTTCCAGGTCTATAGAACAAAAGTTAGAGATAAGATAGGTCCCCTTTAAAATAACTATGGGCATCTTACTGACAAAGAGAATGAAATGTGCTCGATTTTAAATAATTATTTTCTCTCGGTTTTTACACAGGAAGACACTAACAATATTCCAGTAATTAATTTTTATAGTGGACCTGAAGAAGAAAAATTATGTAACATCACAGTCACTAGTGAAATGGTTGTGAAGCAGACAGATAGACTGAAGCAAAATAAGTCGCCGGGTCCTGATGAGTTTTTTTCAAGGGTTCTTAAGGAATGCAAAATGGAACTCTGTGAACCATTAACTAATATTTTTAATTTATCTCTTCAAACAGGTGTAGTGTCTGATATGTGGAAGATGGCTAATGTAGTTCCTATTTTTAAAGCAGGGGACAAGTCGTTACCGTCAAATTACCGCCCAATAAGCCTGACCTCAATTGTAGGCAAATTACTAGAGTCAATTATAGCTGAGATTATAAGAAGCCATCTCGATAAGCATAGCTTGATTAAAGATACTCAGCATGGATTCACGAGAGGCCGTACTTGTCTAACTAATTTATTAACTTTCCTCAGTAAAGCTTTTGAGGCTGTTGATCACGATAAAGAATTTGATATTATTTAGATTTTAGTAAGGATTTTGATAGAGTTCCGCACCAAAGACTGTTAAAGAAAGTGGCAGCTCATGGCATTGGGGGAAAAGTGCTCTCGTGGATCGAGTCATGGCTCACAGACAGAAAGCAGAGAGTGTCCATAAATGGGGTTAAATCCAAGTGGGGATCTGTAACAAGTGGCGTTCCACAGGGATCAGTCTTGGGCCCGTTGTTGTTTATAATATATATCAATAATCTTGATGAGGGAATTACTAGTGAAATGAGCAAATTCGCCGATGACACAAAGATAGGTAGGATAATTGATTCAAACGTAGATATCAGGGAACTTCAGGAGGATTTAGACAAACTCAATACCTGGTCAGCAAAGTGGCAGATGCAGTTCAATGTAGATAAACGCAAGGTTCTGAAGCTCGGGAGTGTCCATAACCCTAGCACTTATAAGTTAAATAATGTAGAACTTAGCCATACAGATTGTGAAAAGGACTTGGGGGTTATGGTGAGCAGTAACCTTAAACCAAGACAGCAGTGCCTAAGCATACGTAATAAGGCAAATAGATTATTGGGATTTATATCAAGAAGTGTAAGCAACAGAAGTCCAGAGGTTATACTGCAGCTTTATACATCAATAGTAAGGTCTCACCTAGATTATGCAACTCAGTTCTGGTCTCCATATTACAGAATGGACATAAATTCGTTAGAAAACATTCAGCGTAGAATGACTAAATTAATACATAGCATTAGAAATCTTCCTTATAAAGAAAGATTGAAGACCCTTAAATTACATTCACTTGTTAGACGAAGAATGAGGGGAGACATGATCGAAGTGTATAAGTGGAAGATAGGTATTAATAGAGGGGATATTAATAAGGTCTTGAGGATATCTCTCCAAGAGAGAACCCGCAGTAATGGATTTAAATTAGACAAGTTTAGATTTAGAAAGGACATAGGAAAGTATTGGTTTGGAAATAGGGAAGTTGATGAGTGGAACAGTCTACCTAGTTGGGCTATTGAGGTTAGGACTTTAGGTAGCTTCAAATTTAGGTTGGATAAATATATGAGTGGGAGGGGTTGGATTTGAGTGGGACTTGCAAATGAGTGGATAGAGTTATCAGACCTTATTTCTTGGGGAGCACTGAAAATTGGGTTGGGCAAATGTTTTGTTAGTGGGATGGATTGTAAAGGACCTGCCGAGTATGGGCCAACAGGCCTGCTGCAGTGATCCTCCTTTCTTAAGTTCTTATGTATATATGATACAAATTAAAGTTGGCTGACCCTAATTACGCTGGCCAGGGTTAATATAAATCTGGCTGCATAAATCTGATCATGATGAAGTGAGGCGACTTTATCAGCTCTGCAGAAATATCCATCTCGACTTCACTAACAACCACATCTTCACTTACGAGCATTATTCATCTTCTCTTCATCCCTGTGCATCTTCACTTCGCATCATCACTTGCAGTACTATTAATAATCGTTACCTAGTTCTTAATGATCCGATTCTGCTCGTGTTAATAATAAAGTCAAATTAAGTATTTGTACATATAATCAACATGTAGAAGGACGTTTATTAGTAACGCTGAAAGATCAATACATCCGTGTTGATGTTTACTGAATATGTTCGAATATGAACAGTGAGCTCTCCTTGCGAGAAGAATATACAGACCCAGCATAGCTAAAACCTTCCACGTGCAATAGGTCGGAGATGTAAAATGTAACCTAGATGGATTTAGAAGTTTCTGCTGTTTAAGTCACAGACACACACACACACTACAATTACGCCACCTCGATCACTACGTTAGCCTCGGCAAATTTTCTCCCAAGACTGCAGGCACTGATGACTCATGCCTGCGACACTCCTGTCTGTCACAGGCATGAGCCTAAACGAAACTCACAGCTCGTTCTGTGATTGGCCAGTTTCATTCCCAGAGTGCCCTACAGTGACACCGGAGTTCCTTTGTAATGTCCCTTTGCTATTGCAAGGCAATGCACTGCAGATTTTTTTCCATAATTACATTGAATTTTTAATAAAATAATTTTATCTGCAGTTATGCTTCTTCACGTAGGAAGTGTGAACACGGAAGTGGGGAGTATGAACAAAGAAGAGGGAAATGTGAACGCAGAAGAGAGGAATGTTAACATAGAAGGGAGTGCGAACAGGAAAGTGGTGAGTGTGAACACTGAAGAAGAGAGTGTGAAGAAAGAAGTGGGGAGTATGAACACAGAAGTGCTAGTACGAGAGTGTCAAGTGTGAGTTAGGAGCACACGTGGAGAAGGTGAGTCAGAGATAGATACAGAGAAAGACAGAGACAGAGAGACAAGAGACAGAAAGACAGTTTTAAATTTAGCTTATGTAAGCTTTATAAGCTAAATTTAAAACTGCAATTACTGTACTCAGATATCAATACTTACTTAATAATCTGTTATTGCCTTCCTAATCTTAAGTTAATAATAAGTCTGCCCACAATGCTCTGCATACAAAGGGGCTTTTGGCATGTACACCCAACTATTATACTCTTTTGTACAACTATGTATCATGTCAAAATAAAAATCATTATTATTATTATTACTTACCTGCACTAGGGCGGCAATAGCGTCGGGTTGGTCATATTTAGCAGCAATATGGAGAGGCACCAGTCCACGACTGTCCAGCTCTTGGTGTCTGGCTCCGGCCTGAGGGAGACCAGTGATGCACCATTCATTACAGACAGCAACAAAGATAAAAGCTTTTTACCCGCAGTGCAAACTGTGGAATGTAGTGACGAGTTGTAACATTACTGTGATCTTGAATCACTTCTGATTGAATGACAGATTATGAATACATCTTTCATTACGCAAACAACCCACACATAGAAGAAACTTACGGCGACGTTTCGGTCCGACTTGGACCATTAGCTAGTCACACAGTAACCATTAGTGTGACTAGTTAATGGTCCAAATCGGACCGAAACGTCGTCATAAGTTTCTTTCTCCTATCTACGGGTTATTTGTGTATTGTTCCAGTCAGGGTATTGTGCTTTTTAGTCTTTCCATCTCCCATTGTGCTACATATACGTAAACTAGTTTGATACAACTACGTAATAAAGTTATATTTATTCTCTGGAAATATAATTTTTCTCGTGCGCAGATTCAAGCTTAAAAATATTTGATTACCAGTCTGGCGCAAGAGATCCTACCAGCTAAATATGTTTTGGTTGATGTGGGTTCACAGACAGGTATCCTCCGTATGCAATAATGCCAGGCCCTGGATCGGAACCCACGCAACCACACAACTCACAAGATGCAGAGGAAACACAGTACAGATTAGTCCACCACCTCCAAGAAGACTGGAAGATGACCAATGCCTTGAAGAGGCCAAGGAGCTTTAGTTTAACGCTGAAGAGGTTTATTAGCTATAGCTTAACACGCTTGAGTGGCCCAGAAAACTGTAGACTTACATTATAAAGAGGTCCAGATGCTTGAACTTAACTCTTTCAAACACTTCTAAAATTTGAGATCAATTAAACGAAGATACTTACTATTTGAAGACCTTCCTACTTTTTCTGTTTTATTACTTAACTCTTAACCGTCATATTCTTTTGTGAGAGTACAGTAAGTGGTTTTTACCCTTGAGTTCAAAGAGGCCAAGGAGCTACAACACAACACCCTAAAGAGGCCCTGGAGCTGTAACTCGATCCACTCAAACACCATGGAAAATTGAAATCAATGGAATGAAGCATTGTGAATCTATCCTTGAGTCTCTTTAAGAGGGCCAGGTGCTGTAGCTCAACGCTCTTTAAAGGCACAAGAGTTGTTGAAACTCAATTATATTTATCTCTTTAAATTTTGACATCATTTCAATAAAGCATTGTGAAAATATCCCCAAGAGCTGTATCTGTACACCGTCAAGAAGCTCATGATAAAGAATACAACCCTCTTTATCATGACTAAAATTTGAGAAGAATTAGATAATGAATAGTGAAGATATTTAATATTTATTACATGACTGTACCGAAGATATGATTGACTGGATAATGGGTCTTAAAGTTTATCGACTGAACAAGGATCACTAAGCTGTAACTCATTCTCCTCACCTAGTCATGAGGTATTAAGAAGTGTAACTCATTCTCTTCACCTAGTCATGAGGTATTAAGAAGTGTAACTCATTCTCCTCACCTAGTCATAAGGTAGTATTAAGAAGTGTTACTCATTCTCCTCACCTAGTCATGAGGTAGCATTAGGAAGTGTTACTCATTTTCCTCACCTAGTCGTGAGGTAGTATTAGGAAGTGTAATCATTCTCCTCACCTAGTCATGAGGTAGCATTAGGAAGTGTTACTCATTTTCCTCACCTAGTCGTGAGGTAGTATTAGGAAGTGTAATCATTCTCCTCACCTAGTCATGAGGTAGCATTAGGAAGTGTTACTCATTTTCCTCACCTAGTCGTGAGGTAGTATTAGGAAGTGTAATCATTCTCCTCACCTAGTCATGAGGTAGCATTAGGAAGTGTTACTCATTTTCCTCACCTAGTCGTGAGGTAGTATTAGGAAGTGTAATCATTCTCCTCACCTAGTCATGAGGTCGTAAGTCCCTTTAGCACAATATATTCACGCAACTTGGCCAGGTATCATCCACTGCTAAATGCTTTTTTGGAAAAACTGAGAATAAAACGATTTTTTTTTCAATTATATGAGGTTTTTCTCACTACACAGGAGAGCAAAGGAAGAGAGCAATTTTGATGAGATTTACAACAATTATTCCTCTAGACCAGGCAGGGGATGTGCTGCTAGAGACAGATTATTCCTCTAGACCAGGCAGGGGATGTGCTGCTAGAGACAGATTATTCCTCTAGACCAGGCAGGGGATGTGCTGCTAGAGACAGATTATTCCTCTAGACCAGGCAGGGGATGTGCTGCTAGAGACAGATTATTCCTCTAGACCAGGCAGGGGATGTGCTCCTCTAGACCTGGCAGGGGATGTGCTCCTCTAGACCAGGCAGGGGATGTGCTAAAGTCACACGACCTAAGAAATTTTAATCGAATATCTGAATTAAGCTCACCTCACAACCAGGAACACACGTACTACCACCTCACAATCAGGAACACACAAGTACTACCACCTCACAACTAGGAACACACAAGCACTACCACCACTACCACCTCACAACCAGGAACCCTTTGGCACTACCACCCCAACCACCACTTCACAACAAGGAACCCTTTGGCACTACCACCCCTACCACCACCTCACAATCATCCAGCACCACCAGTACACACCAACGTACACATGAACACCAACATCGTGAATGAATGACGTCAAAGCGAGTGTGGAACAGTAGGTAAAAATCAATATTTACAAACAATGCCTCACGGTTGCCTAGTGACAGGCGAGGGAATACTCCTATTACTCATAATGTTCTCGTATTCTCTCGTGGAAACAGCGCATTCGAAGAATGCTCTCAGACCAATGAAAAAACTGCCGTTAGGAATATGAGGGGTGACACGTGTGTGTTAAAGAGGTTATATGAAATGTTACCAAGCAAGTTTATACATCACAATGTTGGGCACTTGTGTGATGCGTTGATGTGATGAACGTATTACGATGTTGAGGCTTCGTATGTTGATGGATGTACTGGTGGGTTGGTGAGTTGCGTGATATATCAGCACCATAACATCTGTCCCTAAAAATCACACTGTTAAAGAATATGCTAGTTTCGTCCTTTAAATTGTCAACTGAATGACGACCTGTCGAGTTTTCACGATGTACTACTGTTTATCTTGTATGTTCTTAATAAACAATCAAACAAACACTATATTATACCACTACAATCCTTGTTAAAACATCATAACCATCCTAACCTTTGTTAAATCACCATAAACCTTAAATCAACAAAACTTTAAACGAACACATTATTAAACCATCACAGCTCTTGTTGAGCCATTACAATCCTTGATAAACCATCACAACCCTTGTTAAACCATCACAACCCTTCATATCCAGAAAAATAAAAATAAGCACTTGATTTTCACACTCAAGTTGGAGAGACTTGGGTACAAATGACCTGGTTTATCAACACTTCAAGTAGTATCTCCTCGGTTGCAAGATGAGGAAATTTTTTAAACAATTTCAACAGCAATATATTACCTTTGTAAATAATTAAAGTGAAGTGTAAATAATTTACATAGTTTTGCGTAAATTGCATAAATATCCTCACAATGCAATGTGTATTTAATCAAATTTGAGTTTCAAAGTATGCTTATATTACATAAAATATATAACGTAAGTATTAATTCATACAGCTGGTAGCCTGTATAGTACATGCAACGGCTCTTGACATAAAGAAAATAATGGTTATAATTATAATCTTAATTTTTAATAGGGGTGGACGGGTAAGCCAGTGGAAGGCCTCTGTCAGATGACCAAAAATTTCCGTGGCGGGACATCATATGACTAAGACCCGCGTCAGGAAATATTTCTCCTGTTTCCTGACCCATCTTACCTAAGCTATCTTGAAATTAATTAGTGAAAATTGCATTTCAGTAAAGTACAGAAAATTCTTCTTGCGAGCTGAATTTCAGAGTTCATAACTAAAAAGATACGTTTTCTCGTAATGGTAAAACAAAGGATGATATGAGACACAGCATCAAAGTTTACTTTAAGTCTTGAACTACGAGTAAGCAGCCCTGGATGAAACTTTTCCTTAAACATGAAGAATTAACACACACAATGTTTCCAAGAAAACATATAACCATAAATGAGGAGATAAATAACTGAGAAACAATGTTGCAGCCATCTCCTTAATAACCATATTAACATTAGAAAGCTGTTGTTTAGTAGACGGGGTCCCTGGTTATAGTAAAGGCTTATTACCAAAACTTTGCTCTACATCAAAGTTAACAATAATAATAATCATCCCATTTAATCGCATCATATAAACTGAACTGATACAGCAAAAAAAAAAAATCGAATGTTAAGAAAATCTTGACAAAGAGTGGCTTTTGTCCAGCAGGATCAGTTGTCGAGTAGATACTCGACAACTGATCGGCTAATTAGGTACTTTGAGGATGTAGTTTTACTGTATGTAAACAGCACACATTGTATATAAAAGCATGCAATGTTTGTAGAGGTGTAGTGTATGTATTTGTATACGTTGTTCATGCAGTTGCACGATAAAATAGCAATCATAGGTATGATGTTCATAAATGGTAGGTTGTTGACTTCTGTCATGGATATCATGGATATTATGCATCCAACACAAAGCACTCTATTATCTTATTTATACTGTTTATATTTTGCTGTTTTTACTAAAAAATTTTTTATTAGAATAAGCGATAATCTCTTTACTAAATGTAAACACACAAGACAAGATTAAATAACTAGAAAGAAAAAGGGGGCGAAATATTCTTTTTTTATGGTACCTTAAAATTCCACAGATATTCCTGATGGAATAAAATCGACAGTATTTATTAGTTAGGAAACAAAACAGTTTCTCCTGACCCGGAGATGACTCTTTCAGTGGCTAGGCATTCGCAATTTAGGATTCTTTTGATTAAATAAAAGTTTGATAAAACTGGTGTCAGAAACTGATAATATCTCTAAATTTTCGCATTTACTTTATGCCCTTAAATGCAAGAGAAATTTTGCTAAACTACAAATAATGTTTCAACTCCGAAAAGGCGATAATCTGGGATTTTCACATCACTTCTGGCCCTGAAGACTGAATGAACCGGAACTTGAGATCGATAACTATAAATGTGGAATACATAAGTTTCCACATAATAGGAATATCATGTGGAAGCAAAACATAACATCGTATTTTAGCAGCTCCTGATAGTAGAGCAAGTCAACATGTGTCACCAGAACGTGTCACCAGCATTTGACAACACCATCGACAACATGTATGAGAAGTACATGAAAACAGAAGTGTAGACAGCTTATGACAATACCATGTGTCAACAGCAACTACGCACCTTGATTAGTGCGTTGATAGCATCAGCGTTGCCCATCTTGGCAGCCATATGAAGAGCAGTGTAGTCATACCCGGTTTCAGGGTCCCTGAAACGCTTGTTAACGTTGGCCTGGGTCAGGGCTCTTTCCAGGGCCTCGGTGTCATTCTTCTGGACGGCGAATTGTAGGGCTTCATCAGGGTTAGTCTGATGAATACGAGTAGGGGTTTAATGAGGGTTTATGTGATGGTAGATGCTGGATCTGAGGGAAAGCAATGGTGGATGCTGAATTTGAGGGAACGTGATGGTGGATGCTGAATGTGAGGAAACATGGTGGTTTGTGTGATATCAGAGTAGCGTCCTAATGTGAGGGGAAGGTGGTGGTTATTTAAAGATGGATGATGGCTTAGTGTGATGACGGGTGGTGTCCTAGTGTGTGTGGGAGAGTGGTGGCTTATCGTAAGTTATGGCTATGGATTACTGTGAGCATTGGTAATGGCTTAATTATAGTGAGGGTATGAAGAATAGTTGAAACTTTGTGGGAAATGACTGCCACCTGATACAACTTCCCAGCATTAGAAATCGAGAAGCTGGGTAGTTGAGTTCAGTAATTCAAGACCAACTACTGAAAACTGAGTGCTATCGAGAAAACAAGCCCGGTACCAAGTATCCTATTACTTGGTGACTTTAATTTATGAATCTAAAATTCAGGAATGTAGCTGGTAGTGTAACAGCAGAGAGAACTATAGAAGAAAGTTTGAATGAATAGTCTCATACAATCGAATTATTAAGCTTGTGCAATAAAATAAACTTGAGCCAACAGAGAGTAGAGAAAGACTAGGTCACTAGGATATACTCTTGACTTTATTTTCACGAATAATGAGGCCCTGGCTCGGGATATAGTGATGATGAAGACAGAAAGTTCAGGCCACAACCTAAAAGAGGTTCAGACCTGTACATAGAACGGTTTGGAACAACGAACCATGATCAGTCATAAGGGAGAATTCAATAAATTAAACTTCAACAATTAGAGCATCAGTTAGGAATTAAGCGTGACTTGGCTGAAATGTGCAGGGAAGACGACATGACTAACATGGTTCGGAAGTAATACTTCGGAAGGATGAGCTCACTGGCACCTGAAGTATGGTGCAAACATATCTCAACGACAAAGAAAAAGAAGATGCAAATTAGAAAGAGAGAAAGACATTCCCTCTAATGGACAGTAGAGATTCTCTACCATCCATAAGAGGTATTAATAAAATTAGAAGAAATCCTAAATTATTTTATTCATATGCCAAAGTCAGGACGAAAACTGCATACAGTACATGGACAATACTAAAGAAATTAATTAGATACTGAAGTAACAATACGACTCTGTGTTCAGTGAGCCATTAATCATTCTAAAGATTGATAACCCAAATTAGTTTTCATAAATGAGACTCAAAACCACTGTGAATATCACAGTGGGTTTCATTCATGAACATAACCTTACCTCTACTTAACTTCAAAGATGCCAATGATTGCATACTCATACTCTCTGCTCTAGGCACTGGCTTATGGAATGTTATATTGCATGAACCCACTATCATGTGTAGATATCGTAACATACCGACTTGTGTTTTATTATCGTAAGATTTTGAGTGGTGCTTCGGTATCATAAGATATTGATTGGTGTATTAGCATCATAAGATACTGACTGGTGCTTTGGTATCAGATAACAAGGTGGACCGCGAAAAAAAAGGGGGGGGGGAAGGACTTGCATAGTTTGGGCCAGTAGACCTACTTCAGTGTTCCTCCATTCTGATGTTCTTATATTAAACCTTTTCTAGAATCCTTTCCCTTTTCTGAGATATGCACAGCCTCATGGGCAGTCCTTGTCATATGACCAGCAATAACTATGGTAAACCTTCATAATGTATAACAATGTAATTTAAAAAATTATCTCCATCGATATGTTCAAATCAAAATTAAGGCTACTTACAGGAACTGGTACGCTGCCCGCAGCCTCAGCACTGAGACCGCACCCCATGTTGCTGATCTTGCCAAGTCTTTGCTTGATTGATGGTTGTGCAATGCACTCCGTAGCTGAAGCTTCAAATGTTATGGAAGCATCATCAACCCATGTTCTGTGTGGTGAAGCCTTGTAGACAAGGACAGGGCAGCAACACTGGTCTTGACAAGATGTACAGCAGGGCAGCAACACTGATCTTGACAAGATGATGTATCACAGGGCAGCAACACTGGTCTTGACAAGATGGTGTATCATAGGGCAGCAACACAGGTCTTTATAAGATAATGAATCACAGAACAGCAACACTGAGCGCCACCAACAGGTTAGACCGTTAGGGCAACAACACACGTCCTCTCACAAGAGGGAAGGTGTATCACAGAGAAGGACAATGACACACATCTTGACAAGAGGGAGGGTGTACCATAGTCCAGCACGGTGACACATCTCCACAAATGGGAAGATTCCTTGCCTTGTTTATATCTGTGGGATAAAATAATATACGTTAGTCGACTAACACAACACTAGTGGGTAATCGAATCATGATACAAAATTGTTCATTCTTTCCGTTGTTTTATATTTAACATTCCTCCCGTGCTGCAGTGCACTACAGCTTTGAAAAAACTTCTTATCTTCCCAACAACTAACCAGTTTCAAGAAAAGTATTTTCAAGGTGAAATACTTTTGTGAAGAAAACACGTGTGTAGAAAGAGCATTTATTGGGTAACTTTTCAATCTATTATGATCTTTTACAAAATCATAGAAAGGATGCAAATGGCAGGCATGTACGTGCTGGCAGGAGACGAAGGGGTGAGGTGAGTGAAATCTGTGGAGTGTGATGACTCGTAGAGTCTGTAAAACACTGTAAGAAGTACAATGGACTATGTTGAAAAGCTGTCTGGGTTTTGGACTGTGTTTACTCATATCCCATACAAATGGCTTTTGAGGGAAAAATAACTCATATATTACTTTTTAATTACGTACCAATACACTTCTCGATATTTCGGTCATTTTCAATGGCTAAACAGAAAAAAAAATTGTATCACAAAAATATCTTCGTTGTGAATATAAACGGTCGGTCACTATTATAACTGAAATCACTGGATATTTCACTGTAAATCTCTCCAATTCCCTTGTCTATAAACTTCAAAAGAAAAAAAAACATTTATCACCTTTAGGTACACACCTGTCTACAAATGAGGGCCAGAACAGGTGTGAGGGCACACCTGTGTTGATACTGACTGCAGTAAATTTACGAGCTGTGTCAGGACACAGAGGGTATATCTTCCTGAAGAGAACATTTACCAAACATGCAGGATGAATGTTGATACTGACAGTTTATTATAGTGATGCAGTGAGCACATGCTTTGGTGTGATATATTAGCTGATACATTTTGATACATGCTGCCTGTGATGAAGAGAACATATACATGCAGTTTTACATTTCTGGTAAATATCATGCTGAAATTTCTTAGCTTTATATGGCTGCTGAATTTTATCGTCAATTATGAAATTATAAGTTGTACTTATAGTCTATCTTTTAAAACCATTATGACATCTGAAGCAACATTGCTTCATGTAAAGTTCGCCATGAAGAGAGCTCATGTCTCACATGGTGATCACAGTACTAGATTCCGTTCAAACGGGCTGAACTAAATAAATCTACTTCGAATAAAAGACACACTGGAGAAGATTCATTATTGAGATAACGTTTCGCCCAGTTAGAGTTTAATCAAATCATACATAACGTCGTCTCAGAGAGTGTTCTTGAGTGTGAGTCTTTTCTTTAATAATGCTTGCAGTAACTCATCTGGCTCCAGCAGCATTGCTCTCACAGCTGTATTTCGTGAATAATTACCGAGATTAGTCTAAATATCAGCCCATGATACAACTGCCATAGAGATTTCACCTCACATACTACGGGCTAGGCAAATAGCATTACACAAGGAGACAGATGACATTATATTTGTGTACATTATATGTACACAAATATAATGTAATAGTGTTTTGCCGACATTAAAGGTGACATTTACAGTACCGTACCGTGACCCTGGGTGACAGTACTGTACCAAGACCCTGAGTGACATACAGTACTGTACCGCGACCCTGGGTTATATATACAGTATTGTACTGTGACCCTTGGTGACACATTACCGTGTCCCTTGAGTAACACCTTGGTACCGTGTACCGTGTCCCTGGAGTAACACCTTGGTACCGTGTACCGTGACCCAGGGAGTCACAGTGACTCCAGGAAAATTCACGCTTGTTTTTATCCAATTCCGAGGAGAGTTATATATCATATCGCTATTCTGGTCTCATTTGTAATCACGAAACATCACCTTCCAGCCACAGTGTTGTATCATCCGCAACTCGTCATTATAACCCGCGAAAGTAATAATATATTCTCACAACTGCTGTATCTGTCTTGCTAATCTTAGAACAGAGCATCACGCAAACTCACCTTTTCATTCCTCGGTCATTACTGTGTAACGAACTATCACCCTATGTTTACCATGACGCTTTTGATCTCCAGTCCTTAAGATGTGCCAATGGGAATATTTTATTATACACAGCAAAGAGCTGTGACTTGACCCGTGCAACTATAAACAGGTGAGTACAGGAAGTGGTTATTGGGCGGCAGGTGGGCAGAAAACAAGAGGGTGATGGGGTTTCCTACTAAATTAACAGTTTGTTAAAGATCACTGATAAGGCAGAAAGGCAGCAGTCTACGAGACATATTTTGAACCTCAAAAAAAAAAAAAATAAACGAATGACTTGGAAGGCCTATAAATCTGTACTCTGTATTCTGTCTGCGGTCTTCTTTGATCTTCCCCACTTTCCAAGACTCTGCACTTGGGGATTATTAAACTCAAGGAGTCAATAGTTAGACCAGGCTTGCACCCTGTCCAGATCCCTCTGTGGTCCTACCTGAACCTCATCCGTTTGAATTCTCCGCATCAGCTTCACATCGTCTGCGAACAGGGATACCTCTGAATTTGTCCTTTCCGTTACGTCACTCACACATACCAGAAACAGCATCAACCCTAAGACTTACACTTGTCGAACCCCGCTCGTCATAGGCGCCCAATCTGACACCTCATCACTTACCATCACTCGTTGTTTCCTTCCTGTCAGGTATTCTCTGATCCTATGCAGTGCCTTTCCTGTTACTCCTGCCTGCTTCCTCTGTACTCACCTAGTTGTACTCACCTAGTTGAGGTTGCGGGGGTCGAGTCCGAGCTCCTGGCCCCGCCTCTTCACTGATCGCTACTAGGTCACTCTCCCTGAGCCGTGAGCTTTATCATACCTCTGCTTAAAGCTATGTATGGATCCTGCCTCCACTACATCGCTTCCCAAACTATTCCACTTACTGACTACTCTGTGGCTGAAGAAATACTTCCTAACATCCCTGTGATTCATCTGTGTCTTCAGCTTCCAACTGTGCCCCCTTGTTACTGTGTCCAATCTCTGGAACATCCTGTCTTTGTCCACCTTGTCAATTCCTCTCAGTATTTTGTATGTAGTTATCATGTCCCCCCTATCTCTCCTGTCCTCCAGTGTCGTCAGGTTGATTTCCCTTAACCTCTCCTCGTAGGACATACCTCTTAGCTCTGGGACTAGTCTTGTTGCAAACCTTTGCACTTTCTCTAGTTTCTTCACGTGCTTGGCTAGGTGTGGGTTCCAAACTGGTGCCGCATACTCCAATATGGGCCTAACATACACGGTGTACAGGGTCCTGAATGATTCCTTATTAAGATGTCGGAATGCTGTTCTGAGGTTTGCTAGGCGCCCATATGCTGCAGCAGTTATTTGGTTGATGTGCGCTTCAGGAGACATGCTTGGTGTTATACTCACCCCAAGATCATTCTCCTTGAGCGAGGTTTGCAGCCTATACTCCGTCTGCGGTCTTCTGTGCCCTTCCCCGATCTTCATGACTTTGCATTTGGCGGGGTTAAATTCGAGAAGCCAGTTGCTGGACCAGGTGTCCAGTCTGTCCAGGTCTCTTTGAAGTCCTGCCTGATCCTCATCTGATTTAATTCTCCTCATTAACTTCATATCATCTTCGAACAGGGACACTTCTAAGTCTAACCCTTCCATCATGTCATTCACATATACCAAAAATAGCACTGGTCCTAGGACCGAACCCTGTGGGACCCCGCTCGTCACAGGTGCCCACTGTGATACCTCTGTGATACCTCAGAATCTCTACAATCACGGTGCTCTAAACACCACCTCCAAGGCCGAGGGACTGATTACCTCATCTTTTGTATATAGTTCTTCGTTTTTCTTATTATGTCCAAGAATTTGTATTGATAAAGCCACTGGATGGCGAAACGTCTACAATAAAGATAACCAGATGTTGCACAAGTGTCTTAACTTTCAAACTATATTGTGTCTGCGGTCTTCTTTGCCCTTCCCCAATCTTCATGACTTTGCATTTGGCAGGGTTAAACTCAAGGAGCCAGTTGCTGGACCAGGCTTGTAGCCTGTCCAGGTCTCTTTGTAGTCCTGCCTGATCCTCATCCGATTTGATTCTTCTCATTAACTTCACATCATCCGCTAACAAGGACACTTCTGAGTCTACCCCTTCCGTTATGTCATTCACATATACCAAGAACAGCACAGGTCCTAGGACTGACCCCTGTGGAACCCCGCTTGTCACAGGCGCCCACTCTGACACCTGTGTGTGTGTGTGTGTGTGTGTGTGTAATGTATGAAAGACATTCATGATCTGTTTACCAATATAATCATCCCGGTAAGATAAGTTAGAGATCTTGGCAGCATCTTGTGGAAGCAATGACGTAGCTCGGACTCCATATACCCCTCACCACACCAGGACATCTTCACTGCCCCGACGATGCCACATCATGCTAAATGTGCTTCATCTTTATGGTTTGTTGGCAGATCCTTCTTTAATGACGCAACTCAACTCATCCTCAAGATCCACTTGGCGTTCAGGTAAAGTTAAAAAAAAAAAAAAAAAAAAAAAACTGACGTTTGTAGCAAGTGGATTAAAAAAAATTCGGGTGAGGATGTGTTGATGGCAGGACGTGTAGCCAGCATGAACACTTAATAATAATAATAATAATAATAATAATATAATAATAATAATAATAATAATAATAATAATAATAATAATAATATAATAAAAAAATAATAATAATAATAATAAATAATAATAATAATAATAATAATAATAATAATATTAATAATATTAATAATAATAAAATAATAATAATAATAATATATTTCCACAAAGCATCTGGAGAACATCGCTGTAGGTGTTCAGTAAGGCTCAAAAACACCTGGTATTCAAGACATGAGCTGCGATTCCGGTGTTGACAAAGGATCAAGATCACTTTCAGGTGTTCACCAAAGCACAAGAACACCTCCAGGTGTTCACCAAGACACAAGAACACCTCTGAATATTTATCCAGACAAGAATGCCTCTGGATGTTCGTCATCACTCCGGGTGTTCATCA